CAATATTTATGTTGTTAATTTCGAAATAATATCGTGACTATTTATTTGAATAGATTTTATTGATTTGGAAGTCAACAAAAAGAGGAAGGCTCAAGTTTTGGAGTCATTGTTCGACTATTTGAGGCAAGTGGATTTCTAAACTCTTGTTAAGTGTATGAAATGCGTTTATTTCCTTGTGGTATATGTTTGGGAGTAACGGGATTGGTGATGGGTTGACTTGTCCACATTGATTAATTCTAATGATGAAAAAAAAGGGATAACAAAAGGCAATGTGATCAATTGTTTATGTGTGATGTGTTGAGAAAGGGTTGAAGACTTGTTGAATCATTGTTGATGTGACTTCATGTTTGTGTGGTTGTGAAGTGTGTGATGTTATGTAAGTGGTCATCTCCTCATTATTTGTGTGAACTTGTTATCTGCATTATTCTGACGCATTGGTTGTCACAAGTGTTATGTGCATTGAAAAAGAATGAGTACTTAAGAGGATGTATCATTTCGAGGGACGTATCGCGCGCCACGATGGATACTATATTTCGAGGGACGTATCGCGCGCCGCGATGGTTACTATATCGAGGGTCGTGTCGTGCGCCGCGACAGATGCATGGACAGATATGTCCCCCATGGGTCCCCGACTGAGAGACAGCGGGTGTGTATCACTAGGTCAGACATGCATCATTATACTTGACATTGCATTCCAATGCATTGCACATACTTATCATTAGTGAATTTGATATCGTGTTTTGCTGATCTTCTAATTGCCTTTCTGCGGGACTTGTGATTGATCAATATTGAGCTTTTTATTGCGGATATGTAGTTTGTTGAAGTATTGTTATTGAGGATATGTAATTTGTTAAAGTGTTGTTGTTGAGGATATGTAATTTGTCTGACTATTGTTATTGAGCTACGTGCTATGTAAATTGTGAGCTGTTAGGTTGGGTTGATTTTAATGCAGGTTGTATTTGTGGAGGTTTGGTTGGGGGTGGTAGGAGTACCCGTATTTCATCCCCTTGGCCTGTGTTTAGAGGTTTACTTGCTGAGTACCGTGTGGTTTGGTGCTCACCCCTTGCTTCTACAAATTTTTTTGTAGGTTACTAGCCCGGACTTTGTGATATTTTCTCTTCTCATTGTCTAAGATTTGTTGGAGATTTGAGAGATAGCTGTTTGTCGCCTCATCGTACTTTCTTTATCCTTAGTTATGATCTTGTTCTATTCTAGAAACAAGTTCATTTGAGACTAGCGTTTCTTTTGAATCAATTGTAATACTTTAGAGGCTTGTACACGTGACAACCAGGTTTTGGGGTATACTGTAAGTTGATAGTAAATTTTCCACAATTTTATTGTAATAGTTGAATTTTAGGCTTACTTGTCTTGGTGGGATAAGACGAGTGCCCTCACGACCATTGTTGGGTCTTGACAGATAAAAAATTATATAAAACCAAACACTAGAAATGGAAGTTTGTATATACACAAATACGTATAGATATGTACAGTATAATAACAAAATTATTAATAGGTATACAAATATAAAATATACACAAATAGGGTTTATACAAATATCTGAGATTCTTCATAGTAAATTTCATTAAAATGTAGCCGCAATTCATTATTATATAAAATAGTATACCATGATCATTTGTCCATTTCGCCTAACTTTTTCCTTTATGAGTTCACAATTTTTCCTTTATGAGTTCACAAATTGAATGTAATTTTAGATAGACGAAGTAAATAAAAAAAACATAACTGATAAAAGAGGATGAGATGACAAGTTATTTTTATGATATTTGGTGTTCTTTCACCTAACTCATTATTTAAATAATTTCATCTTGCTTGGCATTATTAAATTTTATATGAAAAGATATCTTGAGAATTGCTTTTCATCTTTCATTTTTAGGAAATTAAATGATAACATACCTATATTTTACAGTCCAGTCTTCATTTTGTGATTCAATTGTCAAATTATAAAAGATGCTCAGAAGAGCTTCTATCTATGGTAGAAAAATTGTGTGAATCTCCTAATCTTTTTTGTTATCTTTCAACTTTTAAGCAATACCATTAATTAATAGGAGAGATTTTAATGATGATTAATGTTCAAACTCCAGGGAATTCAATTACCAAAATTTTATTGGGTTAAAAATTCATTTATAATTTTAATTAAATCCAGTTCATATGAGATGAATAATTAATTTGAGTTTTAGAAATAAATTAGTCTATTTTATTTAATTTCAAGGTCCACTTCATCCCGAGGTTTAGCTCATGTCATGTGTAAAATGATATGACATCCTAATCAAATTTAAGATCAATAAAATGATGTCACGTGTTCAAATATTGTGGCAATCCTGATCAAATTTAATAACCAGTCAAAAGTCACCACGTGTCTAAAATAAAGTATTTTAGCCAATTAATCATAAGAAAACTTATCACATAAAATTTGTTATAAGTTGGATGACTAATATAAACTAGTCAGAAGAAGGTAAAAGAGTTCATTTTACTCTTACACTGCCTACCAACTAAAACTATATATAAATATGAGTTTTACATTAATCATTAGATTCAATGTTAAAAAGAAGAGAAATGAACTGAACCAACCCCATAAGAGCATTTAATAGTTTTAGTTAATAATTTCTGTTAGTAACAAGTTGTTAGTAACAGTTTCTGTTATCCAATACTTAGTTAATTAGAAGTTCGTTAGCAAGGTTGTTAGTTAGTTTTATATATAGGTTAATATTGTAATCTTCTTCACTTAATTCACATTCAATACAATATACATTTTCCTCTCTCAATTCAGTTACAACTCTAGTTGAAGGTCATCAATGGTGTCAAGTTCATCAATGGTGATAATCTTTTCATGGTATCAGAGCATTGATTGATGTATCGTAGTTGTTCCTGTTTCGAAGTCGATTCATGAGCTTCTTCTCTTTCTGTGTTGTTTTCAATCGATTCGTTTAACTGATTGAGAGATTGTGTTGTGAATTCTCTGTTTCTGTCATTTTTCTTCTTCTTCTTCTTCTTCTTCTTTCTTTCTGATTGAGGAAACACATTTCGTAGTTGGAGATTAGCAAGTTTCTAGTTGTTTTCGTGTTAGTTTTTCTCACAAATATTCGAACACAATAACTGGTACTCAAGTTGGAGGTGTTTCTTCTTCTAGTTCAACTACATCTCGATTGGATTTTACCAGTCCTTTTTACCTGCATCCCTCAGAAAATGCAGGATCATCCTTCTTACCTGGAGTTTTCTATGGTATTGGCTATAGATCTTGGCGAAGAGCAGTTCTCAGAGCATTGTCAGTTAAAAGCAAAACAGGTTTTATTAATGGAGCAATTGTGAAGCCTGTTTCTATTGATCCTAATTTCATGCAATGGGAAAGATGTGATGATATGGTAACATCTTGGATCTTAAATTCTTTGTCTCCAGAATTGCGTGATAGCCTGCAATATGTGAATAATGCCAAGGAGTTATGGGCAGAATTAGAGAAAAGATACAATCAAACCAATGGGTGTAAATTGTATAAATTACAGAAGGAGATAAATGAACTTATTCAAGGTATTTTAGACATCACTAAGTATTACACAACAATGAAAAAGCTGTGCAAGGAGATGAGCACAATTGATACCAATTCTCAGTGCACATGTGTGTGCTCTTGTGGGGGTAAAACAAAGTTACAGAAAGCTGAACAAGATAGAAGATTGATACATTTTTTAATGGGGTTAAATGAAATGTATACGACTGTTAGAGGTAGCATTCTTATGATGAACACTCATCCTAGAATGGCTCAAGCTTTTCCATTCTATGCCAAGAAGAAAAGCAGAGAGAAGTGAAGCCTCATAATCATACAGCCTTGGATTCTACTTCTCTCAATGCTTATGGACATTACAATAATAATGCAGGTTACAAGGGATTCAGAACAAATTATAGTTCATCTAAAGGAGCTGAAACTAGTTCTGGTAATACAAGCAATAATAATGTGTCTAGAGGGAATTCAAGTACCAACAGGTCTTTTTTAGTCTGTGACTATTGCAAGAAATCAGGACACACGGGAGATAGATGTTATAAACTTCATGGATATCCATCCAATCAAAAGTTTCAAAAGGGAAAAGGAACAAGTTCTGCAGCAAATATGTGTGCTTCTGATATGAATACACAACAATCTGGGAAAAGTCTGAAATGGGAAAGCAGATTCCACTAAACCTGTCCAAAGATCAGTATGAACAACTGCTCAACATCTTAGGAACTATACAAGCTGGAAATAAAGGTTTTAATTCTGATAATTCAAATAGCATGTTGAATGGGGCTGTGAACTTGGCAGGTATACTTGCTTGTTATTCCTCTATAAATGATATAGGTGATCTTTCTTGTAAATGTGTTAAGCTGACTGCTGGCTCTTGGATAATAGATTCAGGAGTATCACATCATATGACCTATGATAAAACCACTCTCACAAACATTAAAACACTCCCATATCCTTTCTTAATATCACTCCCAAATGGTTACAAGGTTAAAGTGACTCAAGTTGGTGATGCTTGTTTAAATCCAGTTTTAACTCTAAGCAAAGTGTTATTTGTGCCTACATTCAAGTTTAATCTCATTTTTGTTCATTGTTTGGCATTACAACTTAATGGAGTAATCAGTTTTGATAAATTTTCTTGTTTGTTGAAGGGCATTCTATGAAGAGCTCTCTGGAACTTGGTAAAGCCAAGAATGGTCTATATTTCTTATGTCAAAAATGTCACAATTGCTGCAAGTCTGCTGAGGAAAAGTCACCTCATTCTAATTGTCATCTTGTCTCAAAATTTCACACTGTATCTTCTGTAAGACAATCTCCAATTTCTACTACAAATAAAGCAGATTGTACGACTATTCCTTCTTCTTATTCTAATGATAAATGTCTTTCATTTGCTGATGTCTCTAGTCACACTTATAATGATGAACTTCTCTGGCATGCTAGATTAGGTCATGTACCCTTTGTAAAGATGAGGAATATATCAACCATACCTGTAAAGTTTTCTCCTAAACAACCTTTTGCATGCAATATATGCCCTATGGCTAGGCAAACTAGGATGCCTTTTCCAGAAAGCACATCTACCACTACCACAATTTTTGAATTACTACATGTTGATTTATGGGGGCGATATCACATTCCTACTCATGATGGTTACCATTATTTTCTTATTATGGTGGATGACTACAGTAGGTCCACTTGGACACAATTACTAAGGTGCAAAAGTAATGCTCTTTAAACCATCAAAGCCTTTGTATCTCTCATAGAAAACCAATTTCAAACTAAGTTGAAAGCCATAAGATCAGACAATGGTTTAGAATTTACCTCATCTGAAGCTGTATATTTCTTTCAAACCAAAGGCATTATACACCAAAGGACCTGTCCATATACACCTCAACAAAATGGAGTGGTAGAGAGGAAACATAAATACTTACTTGAAACAGCAAGAGCACTCTTATTTCAATCAAAATTACCCATGAGATACTGGGTAGAGTGTGTATTAACTGCCACATATATGATAAATAGATTGCCTACTAAACTTCTTCAAAACAAATCTCCATATGAGATATTATACCATAAACAACCTACATATTCTCATCTTAAGAGTTTTGGTTGTCTTTGTTTTCCAACTGTTTTAAAAACTCACAATGATAAACTTGAACCAAGAACCCCCCCCCTCCCCATGTTTTTGTTGGCTATCCATTTAATACAAAAGGCTACAAAGTCTTGAATCTAGCTACAAAAAAAGTTCACATATCTAGAGATGTTATTTTCCATGAGAATATTTTTCCTTTTGTTCTTGCTCCTGATGACTCTAGTTTCAGTTCTATTTTACAAATGCTCACTCATTCTGTTAACATGCCTTGTATGCCTGGAAAAATAAACATTTTTGCTTCTGATGAAATGCTGGACAATCTTACACCACATGAAGTCACTGACAATCAAGTAACCAATATTACAAACATACATGAAACAACATCTGTTGATATACATGATTCTACACCACAAGAACCACAAGAACCAACAAGAACTTCCAGAACAATAAATACTCCTAGTTATCTAAAGGATTATACATAAACCCTACCTAAGTTACATTCCCTCAATGATTTTGTGTCTCACAGTAACCATGTATGTTTCAATAGTCTTTGTTCTGATAGCCAGCAGCTAGTTACAACCATTTCACATGAATGTGAACCTAATTCTTTTGAAGAGGCAATACTGCACCGTGCTTGGCAGTAAGCCATCACACATGAGTTTGAAGCTTTGTATGCTAATGATACTTGGGAAATGGGCATGTTACCTGATGGAAAAAAGGCTATTGGTTGTAAATGGGTATACAAAATAAAGCATAAGGCTGATGGAAGTATAGAGAGATTCAAGGCTAGGCTGGTAGTAAAATGTTATGCACAACAAGCTGGAGTAGATTACACTGAAACATTTTCACCTGTGGTGAAAATGACTACTTTTAGAACATTGATTTCGTTAGCTGTTAAGAAAGGTTGGAACTTGTATCAACTAGATGTGAATAATGCATTTTTACATGGTAATTTACATGAGGAAGTTTACATGGTACCCCCACAAGGTCTTACAACAGGTTGTGATAACATAGTGTGCAAATTAAAGAAATCCTTGTATGGGCTAAAGCAGGCAAGTAGGCAATGGTATGAGAAGCTAGCAAACAGTTTGTGTTCAAGAGGGTATGAACATTCAGATAGTGACTATTCTTTGTTTTACAAAAAGAATGGGAGTTCTTTGGTATTTGTTGCTATATACGTGGATGATATAATCATGACTGGTAACAATTTTGATGAAATCAATTCTTTAAAGTGTTTCCTGCATAACCAATTCAGAATAAAAGACTTGGGTAAACTACACTATTTCTTAGGCCTAGAAATATTATACAGACATGATGGTGTTCTTATCTCTCAGAGAAAATTCACTTCTGATCTTCTGAAGGATTTTGATGTGTTGAGTTACAAAACTACTTCATTGCCACTTGATTGTACTGAAAAGTTAAAAGCCACAGATGGTAAGCTCTTAACTGATCCTACTCAATATAGGATGTTTATTGGCAAGCTCAATTTTGTAACTAACACTAGAATGGACATATCCTATAGTGTCCAACATTTGAGTAAGTTCATGCAATCACCCAGGGAACCACATTTGAAAGCAGCCTACCATGTACTCAGATACTTGAAACAAGATCCAACCATGGGTATTTTTATTTCAAACAAGGCTGATTTTACTGTGAGTGCCTACTGTGACTCTGATTGGGCTGCTTGTTTTTAGAATCACGGAGGTCTATTAGTGGTTACCTAGTACTTATGGGAGACAGTCCTATCATCTGGAAATCTAAGAAGCAAGCAACAATATCATTATCATCTGCTGAAGTTGAATATAGGGCAATAAGACAAGTTGTGCGAGAGCTAGTGTGGCTTGAAAGGTTGCTAAGTGAATTGGATGTAAAATGTTCCCTGCCTATACATGTTCATTGTGACAGTCAAGCAGCAGTTCACATTGCCAAGAATCCAGTTTTTCATGAACGAACAAAACATATTGAAATTGATTGCCATTTTGTAAGAACTAAACTTCATCAAGGTTTAATCACATTCCATGATATATCCACTGATTCACAATTGGCAGACATCTTCACCGAAGTTTTAACTGGGGTTAAACACACTGCTCTATTACACAAGTTATCTGTAATTACATCACCTCCAACTTGAGGGGGGTGATGAGAATATAAGATCAGCAGTTAATAGTTTAGTTAATTATTTGTGTTAGTAACAAGTTGTTAGTAACAGTTTCTGTTTTCCAATAGTTAGTTAATTAGAAGTTAGTTAGCAAGGTTGTTAGTTAGTTTTATATATAGGTTCATATTGTAATCTTCTTCACTTAATTCACATTCAATACAATATACATTTTCCTCTCTCAATTCAGTTACAACTCTAGTTGAAGGTCATCAATGGTGTCAAGTTCATCAATGGTGATAATCTTTTCAACCTACAACTATATATAAATATGAGTTTTACATTAATCATTAGATTCAATGTTAGAAAGAAGACAAATGAACTGAACCAACCCCATAAGAACAAAACCAATAATTTTCATTTTATTTAATTCAATTTGATTTTAAAAATTTAAAAATCGATAAAATCAACTTGATTTTAATTTAATTAAATATCGCTCCAAACGAAACAATGAGCACTCCTACACATTGGTTTCGCCAAATGCCATACTAGGAAAATAAATAAACTTATTGTGAAAAGAGATGCATTTTACCTCTTCTAGAGACTACTGATAAATTTTTTTTTATCTATTTTTATTTCTTATGTTTCATTTTTCAAAAGTTAATTTGACTAATTTTTAAAGTGGAATTATATTATATTAATTCCATATTTTGAACAAAAGATTTAGATATTCAAAAACTATATGAAAATTATATAAATTATAATTTTTTTCATATCAATATTGATGAAAAAATATATAGTAAAATATTAGTTAATTTTTTATAATTTAATTCTAGAAAAAGAAACTACAATAATCAAGAAAAGTCAATATATTTGGTTTGTTGGTTTTGCTTCACACGAGAAATCATTTTCTAAGAACATCAAATAGTTGTATTTATGTTATTAAAAAAAATTGCAAGCTTTGACTTTAAATCCAATAATCATGCCTCAATCCGGAATAAGCTAGGATTTCAAAAAGTTAACCTAGATGCAATATAAAAATTTGCTTGCACTTTCACTTTTCTGTTCGAGCCCAATACTTTTTAACAAGTATTTCAAATAATGAATCCTCTTTATTTATTAGTATTTCAAATACTCACCTCTTAAGAAGATGCAAAACAAGGAATTCAACTAACAAATAAGGAATTAAGGATTAAAGTGACAAATTGGCAAAAATCAAAAGTAGAAGCAACTATAAGAGTTACAGTAACAACGGAAAAGGATTCACACACCTATTGCTCATAACGGCTAGGGGACAGTGGAGTCGAAATGGATCTCTTCGCAGTGGTATCAGTTCTTCGAAGCTCATTTTGTTTAGAGGGAAAAACTCGGGAGTATTTATCAGCTCTGCTGATTCTAGATGAAGATTGTTGGGTCATGGCTAAAAGTTCCTAGATTTGACGTATGAACCCATTTTGAGTTGAAGAAGTCTTCGAGGAGGTCGATTTTATGGAACTTGTGAGAGGTTAGTGTAGAGGTGAAATTCACTCAAGCTCAATAATCTTAGTTCAATAACAAGTTGATGAATTTGGGGGCCAGTTCGGAGGAACATCGATGACAAATCCGGAAGTATAATTATTCTTGGACCTTTCTTTTATATTACTTCCCTTTTTAAGATTTTTTTTTTAGTTTATGGATGCAGGTCACTTTTGGGCCTATTCAGATTCTGATCGTTTAGTAATAAATGGGTTATGTCTAAGTTTGAATTAAAAAAAAGGGTTGTCCGCTATAGTAGAGTCAAGATTTTTTTTCTTGTGTGTTTGTTTCAAGACCTTCAAGAAGGTATGGACCAACACCTTATTAGCTTGGTGGTGATGGATTTGAATATATTTCAAGCTTGATATAATTTTTCTCATTTTTTTTGCCTAAAACTTAATGTGGCTTGTACACGTGACATTCAGGTTTGGGAACGATTTTGTTATATTATAATTTTTGGAATACTTATGTTGTTTATCCTTATTTCCTTTTTTACTTATGTTACAGAATAATGTAAATATATTCTATTACCTTATATAGATAGGAGGAGAGACATGTAGGATATTTTCTTACCTTTCTTTATTAATGCTTCTTTCTAGTGTATACTGTTGACATCCTTTGAATGGGAGCAACGTCGCGGTGACTCAATTAAAAAAGAACTTGTTAAAAAAAATTTAAAACTGGTAAAAGAGGTTAAAAAGTGGTAAAATGAGTTTAAAAGGATTAAAGGGAGTCGCCACCTAATTTTTTGGAAAAATTAGGAAACCGATTAATTAAGTAACCTGAAAGAAATATCTACGAAACCAATATGATTCTAGGTAAGGGGTTCAAGTTATTCCGAAGGGAAGGGGTTAGGCACCCTTCGAAATCCACAACTGTGGTTTCCGACTGAGTTCATTTTTTCAAATTGAGGATGAGAATAGAATAATGTACAAATATAATAAACATGCAATATACACAATAAAAATAAAATAATAATTATCGGCCTAAGGTTTGCCTAACGTCAATATTTACATAATAATGAAATAAAAATATAATTCGAGTTTTTTCGAATGACTTCATGAGAAGCAACTCTGTGTACCTGTAAACACACTTAGTAAAAGTGTTAGTAATAAATAAATAAATATGAATAAAAATGAATATATGAAATACCAACTTGAAAATAAAAATCCGTCTTATTAACATGGGAGGACTTGAAAATCGACGATAATTTCTTCATCGGCCAATTCCAACAACTAAAATGTATAATCTTAAATTAAAATTTCGTCTTTTAAAATGGAAAGGCCTCCAAAATCGACGGAGAGTTTTTTCATTGGCCAATTTAAAAAATAAACATAGATGAACTTAAATTAAATTTTCCGTCTTTAAAATGGAAAGGCCTCTAAACCCGACGGATAGATTTTTCATTGGCCAATTCCAACAACTAAAATTATATATGAACTTAAACTAAATTTTCCGTCTTTTAATATTGAGAAGGCCTCCAAAACCGACGGAGATTTTTTTCATTGGCCAATTTAACAAATAAATATAGATGAACTTAAATTAAATTTTCCGTCTTTTAAAATGGAAAGGCCTCTAAACCCGACGGATAGATTTTCATTGGCCAATTTAACAAATATATTTAATATAACCTGAACATCAACAAAACATAACAAACTTATCCCAAGAGAATATAGAAAACAACAACAAAACTAAAACAACATAATTAGAAATGGAAACAACAATAACATAATATATAAAAATTAAAAATAACATTGAAATAGAATAACAACAAAACCCTGAAAAGTTAAGATAGCAAATAGTTGACTAAAAATTTTAAAATAATAATAATAATAAATAAATAAACATTAAACCGTAAAATAATGCTAATATTAAAACTACAATAAATAAAAATATTAATTGACGTTTAGAACTACATTAAACTAAAAAACAAAACAAGCTACATATAATAAACAAAAACATAAAAGAGCTGGGAATTAAATAAAACAAGGCTAAGAAAAAATTTACCTGGTTCTGGGCAGCGAATCGGAACTATAAGTTTGAAGGAGACGACTCCACCTCCTCAACTCGAAAAACCACAAAAAAATACTTTAAAATTTTGAACTGTAGAACCAAGAATACTCAAAATTTTATGGGTACTCTTTGGTCTTCTCCTCCAAAATCCTCCTCGAAAAATAGTGAATGAAGTGGGTTTATATAGAAACCCAAAAATCCTCAAAAGGATGAAATACCGATGTGGGACTGTTTCAAAATTGAAAATTGTTTGAGAAACGATGTGGGAAAGGCAAAAAAAATTTCTTTTTTTGACTCAAAATGTATTAATTTTAAAACTATCCGACCAAAATTTGGTGTCAACAACTTGCCCTTTGTTTGATTAGGATCGATGAAAGTGATCCTGGTCAAACAAAGTTGACAAACCAAATTTGATTTGATAAACATTGAACAAAACAATTGAGACGCTAGTAGAGCTTTTGAGCAAGACTCCACATCTGTCGACTTGGCTGAAAATAATAAACAAAAGGCGGAGATTGATTGTAACTGAGAAAATTCACATACCTTTGATGTTACTTGCAAAATTGCACAATGAAGGTGGTGTACCTTTTTGAAAGAAGGATGATGTGAATAACATGTTACTTTAAATGAGGTGACAACCCAGTGCGTCTCTTTGAAAGGAGGACGACCCAATTTGAACATAACATATCATTTTAAACGAGGTGACAACCCAACGTGTCTCGTTGAAAGGCGGACAACCCAACTTGAACTTAATATGTCATTTGAAGGGATATAACAACCCATCGTGTCTCTTTGAAAGGAGGACGCCCCAACTTGAACTTAATATGTCATTTGAAGGGAGATGACTACCCAATCATGTCTTTTTGAAAGGCGGACGATCCAATTTGAACTTAACATGTCATTTGAAGGGAGATGACGACCCAATCCTGTCTCTTTGAAAGGCGGCCGACCCAATTTGAACTTAATATGTCATTTGAATGGGGTTAACAATCCAATCTTGTCTCTTTGAAAGGCGGATGACCCAACTTGAACATAATATGTCATTTGGAGGGAGATGACAACTCAATCTTGTCTCTTTGAAAGGCGGACGACCCAACTTGAACATGTCATTTGAAGGGAGATGGCAACCCAATCCTGTCTCTTTGAAAGGCGGACGACCCGACTTGAACTTAACATGTCATTTGAAGGGAGATGACAACCCAATCATGTCTCTTGAAAGGCGGACGACCCAACTTGAACTTAATATGTCATTTGGAGGGAGATGACAACCCAATCTTGTCTCTTTGAAAGGCGGACGACCCAACTTGAACATGCCATTTGAAGGGAGATGACAACCCAATCTTGAACTTAATGTGTCATTTGAAGGGAGATGACAATCCAACATTGAACTTAACGTGTCATTTGAAGGGAGATGACAACCCAACATGTCTCTTTGAAACGCGGACAACCCAACTTGAACTTAAGATGACGTATCACAAAATCTGCAATATCAATGTTAGTAGCAAATACAACATAAATTATGCAAACATGACCATACGAACAAGGTATTACCAATGCAACGATTCAAACTTAATAACATCATGAATTAAATAAAATGTCAATTTAAAATGAAATAAAAAAAGTGTCATATTGAACGGCATGACAAACCAATTTGAAAAGAATTAATTTATTAAAGATAATAAATTAATTTCTAAAAGATATCATTTTGAAAGGCATGACGATCGAAAAATAAAAAGATGTCATTTTGAAGGATGTGACGACCCAAAAATGCAATTTTGATCTTTGAAACGGTCCACAAAGTTATTTGGACAAATATGGGGCATAAAATAAAATGATGTCATTTTGAAAGGTATGACGACCCAAATTTAAAAGATGTCATTTTGAAAGGTATGACTACCAAAAAATAAAAAAATGTCATTTTGAAGGGCATGACTATCAAAAATGCAATTTAAACTTTGAAACTGTCCACAGAGTTATTTGGACAAATATTGGGCAAAAATTTAAAATGATGTCAGTTGAAAGGTATGACGACCCAAATTTAAAAGATGTCATTTTGAAGGGTATGAATACCGAAAAATTAAAAAAAAAATGTCATTTTGAAGGGTATGACTATCAAAAAATACAATTTAAACTTTGAAACAGTCCACAACATTGGTATGGACAAATATCAACAATGAAACGGTCCACAAACTTGGTATGGACGAATATTGTAAACTGGGTTTCAACCCATTTTTTATTTTCTGAACAATGAAACATATTTTAACTTGGTTAGCGCCAACAATAGTATTGTACAAAATTTCTCTCAATTTTTCTCTTTCAAATGAAATTGACATCGAGGTAATTCCTATGGATTCAAGTGGTACCTCAAATGTACTTAAGTAACGACAAGATTTGTTCATCTTGCTATAAACAAAAGCTTAAAACTAGACCTAACATCATGTTTCAAGTTCCCTCACAAGAAAGAAACTTTCAATTTGCGCACATTTAAAGTGTTTTAATTTGAAAACATCTGGAAAAGCACACTCACACTCGAAATTTTTTCAATGCATGCAATTGTGATACCATAGGCTTGACCTTCACGTGAATCTCCACTAATCTGGAACTTTTGAATTGAAATCATGTAGGGCTTGTTAATAGCTTGTAATGTTGGCTTAGGAACGGGTAGGATAGTCATTTGGGATTAAAGTGACTTATTCTTTCTTGAGCATTGCACTAAATAGATTCTTTTAACATTTATTACGGTTTTTGCGTTTGATTCTCTTTGTTGTCCCTTCCTTTTGCACTTTTGACTTCTTTGAAACTTTTGTTTCTCTGAGTTTTCCCCCTTTTGAATTTTCTCCTTTTTTGTTTGGAGTGTTTCTGAAATTTTGCTTTCTTAAATTGGTGGGGAATTTTGAACCTTTTTTTTCTGAAGTCATTTTTGTTTTCTTGACATTCAGGAACTTTGATAACTTTTGTCTTTGACAAATTTGAACTTTGTATCTTCTCTTATGACTTGCATGTATTCAATGGGCTCAAGAAAGTCTGGTCAAAAGAGAGATAGTGCGTAAAAGCACTCAGAAAAGGTATTGGCTAAGATGTGGTTGTCCAAAGAAAAGTCTTAACGCTCAAAGTGGGGACATCTAAGGATTAACATCATTTGGTAGGCTTTGAAAGGCTCAAACAGATCAAAGAAGGCCTACAATCATTTTTCAAATCAAACATTACTCAGAATTTCGCCTCAATAACATTTAGGCCAAGTTCTAGATCAACAATGCAAAATAATTGAATTTGATTCAAAACTCACCACACAATGTACATGAAACAATGAACCTGATTTTGATGTAATCTTGAATTTATACAAGACAACATTTGCAAGTGTAACAAAGTATGAAAGAGAGGTACCAAAAGAATCCATGGTTTTAACAAGAAGTCCATCTTCTTTATTATACAAATTATTTTTCACATGCACACTTGAACTGTGTTGGCACCAACCCATTTAAAAATAATTTCAAAAATATAAACATTCAAAGATAAAAAATAAATAAATAAAAATTCTTTTGAAGAAAGAAACCGAGACCAATAAGGGCTGTCTACATATCTCATTGATGAGAATCAAGTTTGCGTAGTTCTTCCAAATATGACATAAAATTCATAAACAACAAATTACCTTTTGAAAGAAAGAATAATGAAAATAAAAATCAATGAGCCACATTGAAAGGCGGGCAACCCGAATTGAACAAAATATTTTTTATTTACTATTTAAAGAAAATTTTACAAGGACGAAAGAATCAGTGAGTCACATTGAAGGGCGGACCACCTAAATTTAACAAAAAAAATATATTTTCTAACAATTAAATAAAAATAACAAAAGT